ACGCTCCAGCCCCTCCCTGTGTCTCCTGTCTGAGGGTCCCAGAGCTGCCCCAGCACTGGAGGTGCCCCAGCAGTGCCAACTCGGCCACAGAGGCTTTGGAGGTGGTTCTCCAGCTCTGGCTGTGCCTGGAGGTCTGAACCTGGGGAGTTTCTCTGACTAATCAAATAACCGACACTTGCTCTCAGCTCTGCTCCTTTGGAGAGGAAATGAGGAGCAGTTAACGCCATTTCTGCCGGTTTGTCCCATCAGTTTCTGCTTTACAAACACTTTTCTAAACTAAACAAACAGAATTCGTACCAAGAAACGTTTTTATTTACTTCTAAGGCCACTTAGAAGCCCAGCTGCTGACACAGCCCTCAGAACTCAGCATCCCCAGTGCCTCTGCCAGGCTGCCCAGGGCTGCTGCTCCCAGTGCCCCCAGCACTGCCCAGCCCAGACCCCCCAGACCCCCCCGGGGGTTGTTTTTACCGTAACAGCCTGAGCTCAGCCAGCAGGGTCGGGTTCTGCTGGGCCTTCTCGGGGGTGGGCTGAGAGGCCTGTTCGTGTTCCAGCCTGAGCCGCTGGATCTCCTGGAGGATCTCCCTGTGGGAACGACAGAGGGGAGGCAAAAGGAGGGGAGAGTCACTCTCTGCACTGCTCCCAGACAGCTTTCACAGCCCTTGGAGCACTTTCTGCCAGTCCCAGCCCAGGCACAGCAGTTTTGTTCATGTGTGGCTGGCACAGACCCACACCAGGACGGGTAAGTTGGTGCAGACGTAGGAACTGCTGCAAAAGACAGAAAATTTATTACTTAATAAGTGTGAAATCACTCATTGCAATGCCTTTCCAAACCCTTTCACATGGAATGGGCTCAGAGACTGTTCCAAGAGGACAAAAGTTCCATCTCCAGCACAACCTGCAGGAAGGGCCCTGGGGCAGGACCTGCCAGCTCTGCTGAGCTCCCTCTCCCCTTCCCAAGGGCTCTGGGCAGGGCAGCAGGAACAAGGAGGACAACAGCTCATTGGAACAGAGGCAAACCCTCCAGTGTCCCCAGGGGAAGGGGACCTGCACAGCCAGAGGGGAGGGAACCTCACAGCCATGGCCAAGGGGAATGAAACCCCCCTGGAGTGGAGACTGTTGTCAGCTCCAGGTCTCCGTGGAACTGCTGGGCTGCTCTCCTGGCAGGGCTTCACACCAGCACTGACTGAGATCTCCTTATCTGGGATCTCCAGGAGTAATTTCAAATACCTGCAAGGTCTCTTGGTGCAGCACTGAAGCCGTGGCAGTGCCAGGACTGAGCTGCTCCTGCTCTCCAGGAACTGATTCCCCTCCAAACCCCCCCTGAGCAGTGTTTTACCCCAGTGTGCTGAGGGTGCCCTGGCACAGGGCTGTGCAGGCAGCTGGATCACAGGGCCTGGCACAGCAGAGCACAGGGAGACCTGAGCACAGGCACAAGGACAGCCTGGAGAGGCTCCACAGGTGACCCTCTGGAGCAAGAAGGATCCCATGGTTTGGGTTGGAAGGGACCTTAAAGCTCATCCCGTTCCTCCCCCTGCCATGGGCAGGGACACCTCCCACCAGCCCAGGTTGCTCCAAGCCCTGTCCAACCTGGCCTTGGACACTTCCAGGGATCCAGGGGTAGCCACAGCTTCTCTGGGCAACCTCCTCACCACCCTCCCAGCCAGGAATTCCTTCCCAGTATCCCACCTTTCCCTGCCCTCTGGCAGAGGAAGCCATTCCCTGTGTCCTGTCCCTCCATGCCTTGTCCCCAGTCCCTCTCCAGCTCTCCTGGAGCCCCTTTAGGCTCTGGAAGGGGCTCCAAGGTCTCCCTGGATCCTTCCCTTCTCCAGCTGAGCACCCCCAGCTCTCCCAGCCTGGCTCCAGAGCAGAGGGGCTCCAGCCCTGGCAGCATCTCCGGGGCCTCCTCTGGACTCTCTGCAGCAGCTCCACGTCCTTGTGCTGCTGTTGCCCAGGGCTGGAGGCAGCTCTGCAGGGGGGTCTCAGCTGAGGGGGCAGAGGGGCAGATCCCCTCTCTCACTGCCCACCATCCCTGTGGGATCAGCCCAGGGCACAGGGGGTTCTGGGCTCAGAGCCCCCCCTGAGCTGTTCTGGGTCTGCAGACAAGAGAGAAACGGGCTCTGGATGCTCAGTGCTGGGCAAGATGATTCTAAGAAGATTAGTGGAGATCAACCCACTTCCTGGGGAACAGGGGCAGGGCAGCCCCTCCACAATGCTAATTAACTAATTTAATGACTAACTAATCAGTTAACGAGGCAGCTCCGCCTTTAACAAAAGATCCGCGTAAACAACCTGGTTAATGTAACACAGAGGCTTCCAAACAGCAGAGCCCGGGACGGTTCCCGAAGCAGAACAGACCAGAGCTCGTTTGTACCTGTTCTTGTTCTCCAGCTCCGCTATCAGCTGCCGCTGCTGCTTGTTGGCATCGAAGCTGAATCCCAGGTCCGAGGGCGGGCGGGGCTGGGGAGAACACAGAGGGTCACACCGAGCACTCCCTGCCCCGAAGGGGCTGTGGCAGGGTCTGCATCCAGCCCCAGAATTCCCAGGCTGGCCCAGCCCTGGGACACGGCGAGGGGGGCTGAGCCCAGGGTGGGGCTGCTCCTGCTGCCTCATCCTCACTATCCAGGAACGGGATTTGCCATATTTTTTAGGTCTTGTTTAGAAAAGAAGCCCCCACACCTACCAGTGCCTACAGCACCCAAAGGATCTTCCTGGGAACAAACCCAGTCATTCCTTTTCTCATGAAGTGCCCTGGTGAAACACTGACCCTGCCACGTGTCAGTCAGTGAAGAGGAGCTGGAGTGACCCCGTCCAGGAGAGTCTGGAATGACCAACAGCTCAGTCTGGGACCCAGAGCCCTGCTGGACCCCCCCCATGCTGACAACAGGCACGTTCTGCATCCCCTGGCTCAGCTCTCGGAGCTCCATCAGTGCTCAGAAACAGCTCCACAGAAACATCTCCACAGGGAGGTCTCCCCACAGCTGATCCTGACTCCTTGTGCTCTCCAGAGGTCCCAGCTCTCCCCTTTCCCAATCCATCCCCTTGCAGTGACTCTGGGGTTAAATGAAGCCTCTCAGTGCATTCAGCTGCAATAATTCCATGTTAAATAAACCTGAACCCAGACCCCCATCTCATGCCACGTTAGGTGGGACCCCCAGACCGCCCACACTGCCCTTGGCACCACGAAGGCCAGGAAACACCATCCATGGAAAGGAACAATATTCACAGGCATTAAATTTAAACAGGCATTAAATTCAAACATGGTCATTGCCTCTGGAAACATGGAAAGTTTACCATCACTGCCCTGTCCCTGGAAGTGTCCCAGGCCAGGCTGGACAGGGCTTGGAGCAAGCTGGGAGAGGGGAAGGTGTCCCTGCCCGTGGCAGGGCGTGGGATGAGGTGAAGTGTGAGGTAACTCCACTGTGGGCTTCATGTACCAGCCTGCACTTTTTCAGTGAGTGAACTCCTCTGGAACACATGGAACCATGTTGGAAAAATCCAGCCCCACCTTTCTCCCAGCACTGCCCAGGCCTCCCCTGACCCACGTCCCCAGGGGCCACCTCCACAGGGCTTTTAAATCCCTGCAGGGATGGGACTCCCCCCTGCCCTGGGCAGCTGTGCCAGGGCTGCACCGACTGCACTCCCTGCTCTCATTTCTGCCCAGCCTTTTATCAACACCAGACTCTCACTGTCACCACCCTGGAACAGTCTGGGGGGTGTGGGATTGTGATGGTGAATTCCATCCTCCTCGTAAACCCGGGGACAGAATCCATCCCCACACCTGCACGCTGCTGTTTATCCCGAGGGGAGGGACCTGCCCTCCCTGGGAAAGTCGTGTGTGGTTTTCAAAACCTCTGCCCTCAGAAGAAATAAACCCAACCCAACCCCTTCATTTCCTAGTCAGCACTGCTGTGTCTGCTCTCCATCTCCCCAGGCAGGTCTGAATGACTCGTGTCTGCCAAGATTTACGGCTGTAATTCCACGCTTTAAAAGCCCACAGGTTGAGCTCCTGCCTGCTCAGCAGCTCTGAGCTCCAGGGAATATCCCTTTGCTACTCCACTCTTACCAGGGCTTTCTACTACAGAGTGCAAAGACCTGCTGGGAGACAACACTGTAAGTCAAAATTACTGAAAAAAAACCAACCCAAACCCAACAACTCAACCTCTGCTGAAGCCTCAGCAGCTCTGAGATCATCCAAGTGGCAAGGGCCCATTTTCCCTCAGCAAGAAAATCCATGTGATGGTCGTAAAATCTACTCAGAACCCTTCCCATCACACAGGACCAGGGAAACCTGTGTTTCACTGTAATTGTAGTTTTCCTGTGAACTGGCCATTAATCCAGAGAGTGAGCCATGCTGGAACTGCAGGTCAGGAATCAAAGAGGATCCCCAGCTGGAAGGGATCCATAAGGATCACCCACCTCCCTGCTGGAGTGGTATTTGCTGACAGGAGCATTCAGACCTCACCTACACTACCCCTGTTTGGGGGGAGAGAAGGGGGTGTTCAAACAAGCCCCCAGAGGCAGTCTGGCAGCCACTGTGCTTCCCATCACCACCATTTGGAAGAAACTGTGAAAGAACAGCAAAGTCTGAGTCTCCTGAGCATCAGATCCCGGGTTCCTTGGTGCAAGGACCTCACGGTGTCATGGAAAGTCTGAGCCAGCACTTCAGCTGCCCATCACTGTGGTGCCACAGGGTTCTTGGTGACCAACAGGCAAGGGAGGGGAACCAAATGACAAAAATGGTTCACTTAGCTGGTTTGTCAAGGAGAAGGAGAAATGATCCAAGAACCAAGCTGCAGGTTTATCTGACAGGAAAAAAACGGTTTACTCATCCTTTTATTTAAAAATGATGCATTAAACAATGCCCAACACCTGAAAGAGAAGTTCCACGAAGGGAATATTCTGTTATTTAGGCTGTGGGCAGCTTTCAGGAGATGAGATGAGATGATCACAGGCTTTTAGCAGTGCCTGATGCCGAGGGAAGAGCAAACCACGGAGTTTTCAAAAAAAGAGCAACGTGGGCAAGAACAACCTAATTATCGTAACTCATCCACATAACTCAACCTAATTACCCACTCAGCCAGAACTGAGGACTGCCTTGTGTTTGTGAGGTGCCAGTGCCTGCCCCCACAGCGGGGCTGCACAGCCCAGCACAGGGGGCCCTGAGCTCTGCTCCTGCCAGGGGGGGTCACTGCCCACCCAGCCTGTGCCCCACAAACCAACCTGCCCAGGCCAACGGGGAGAGACCCTGGAGGACAGCAGGAAAGGGGGAGAAACAAGAGCTGAGGTGGAGCAGCTGGGAGAAGGGAGGAAGGAGGTTGTGGAGGATACTGGTGACAGAGGCCCTGGGGTTGCTTCACAAAAACAGCTGTATAAACACATATATATATATATATATATATACATATATTCACCCAAAACACAGGTGATCCTTCCTCCTCTGGGGGTGCAGCCACCTCACCTGCAGGATTACCTGTATTCAAGGGGTCAGGCAGCACTGAGGTGGGACCTGCCATGGATGTGGATGTGGATTTTGTAGGAGAAAGCAGCCAAGGGGGATGCAGGAGACCTGCTCCAGTCCCCGATTTCATCACCAAGATGATGCTGGGCAGGAAGCAGCAGGTTATTCCTCACCTGGGGCTGACAATGTGGGCAGAGCAGCAGAGGGAGACACAGGGATGAAGCTGTGATCCTGAAAGTTGTGATTTAATTGAAGTTTGGGCTGTTCTCTGCTGATCCCCTCACTCCATCCCTCTCCTCACCTGCCGCCTCTCCCGCTCTGGTGGAGCTGTTTGGGGTCACGGCTCTGCCAGCAGCAGATGGGCAGGGCCAGCCCTGCCCTGAGCACTCAGATTCAATAAAAGGGACGTTTTGTCTGCAGAGTGGCTCGAGGGGAACAAGAGCAGCTCAGTCAGGGCTCTCTGAGTGGACACAGACCCCCCTGCCATGCCCTGCTCGTGCGGCACAGCTGCCCCTGGCACCGAGGGTTCCTCCTCCCCCTCTCCTTCCTCCTCCCCAGCTACTGCCCCTCTTCAACAACAGACAGACTTGGATTTCAAGAATGAACCCTCAGATCTGCCTCAAATTATTCTGTCCCGGTCAGACACTGAGCAAAGGCTCAGTGGTGAGTGATGTTCATCCCAGAACAGCCCTGCAGAGACACCTCCAACCCTGGAGAAACAGCAGAAAGGGGTGGGCTGGGTCAGACCCACGGCCACACTGCCTGGTGGGCAATTCCCAGTGACCACACTGTCCCATGGACAATTCCCAGTGACCACACTGCCTGGTGGATGATTCCCAGTGACCACACTGCCTGGTGGATGATTCCCAGTGACCACACTGCCCCGTGGACGATTCCCAGTGACCACACTGTCCCATGGACGATTCCCAGTGACCACTCAGATGACTTCAAAGGAAGGAGTCAGAATCTTTGCACCAGGCCTGCTGGAGCATGAACAGTCTGTCCCTGGGACCCTCTGCATTTCCCTCAGTTAGAGCATGTCAGTGAATAAAGCACATCCCATCTGCCAGGCAGGGCTGGAGAGGACAGCAAGACATAATTCCATTCACATCAGCCTCTCCCAAGTGTTCCCAGCAGATACTGCTCTACCTCGCTTTCAGAGTCTCCCCTGACAAATATTCCATAAATCCCTTATGGTGCTTTTTTTTTTTCCCTCCATTTTTCACTTCCATTAAGGTCCAGATTCTCAGTAAAATCCAGGTGGGAAGGAAGCTCTGGAGGTTTCCATCCATGTCCATTCACAGCAGGTCACTCAAGTCCTTCTTGCTGAGCTCTGAACATCTCCAGAGAGGGAGCTCCCAGTTCTCCTCTGTCCAGCCTCTTGGACAACAGTATTTGACCATTGTCGTGGAGACAAAAGATTTTCTTAACATACAGCTGGAATTCCCTTTGCTGCAGCCTCTGTTGCCTGCTGTCCCCTCCCTGAGGGCTCTGTGCTGGGGTGACCCTGGCTGTGTGAGGGGTTGGCCCTGATGACAGGGCCATGGCTGGCTCTTCAAGGAGGCTTCAGGCAGCACCAAGACCCTCCTTTGCTTTCTCCTCTCCACCTCCAAAGCTGACTCAGCCTCACCCCTGTGTGTTGTGACCAGGATCAGCCCTGGGCTCTGCTCAACCTCGCTGGAGTTCCTCCAGCCTGGCAAGGTCTCTCCAGTCACTGCCAGGCAGCTCCAGTGACATCCCAAGTTATGTGGTATCTGTTTTCCAAAGAAGCTTGGAATGGTTTGGGTGGAAAAGGACCTTAAAGCTCATCCAGTCCCACCCCTGCCATGGGCAGGGACACCTCCCACCATCCCAGGTTGCTCCAAGCCCCATCCAACCTGGCCTTGGACACTTCCAGGGATCCAGGGGCAGCCACAGCTTCTCTGGGCAGCCTGTGCTAGGGCCTCCCCACCCTCCCAGCCAACAATTCCTTCCCAATATCCAATACTCAACGAGCATCTTTCTCCTACTGGATTTCCAAGATGTTTATTCCATTGGGGTTTTCATCTGATGTTCCCCATTTTAAGTCCTTGTGGAAAGAAAGAAAAATTGCTCTTTTTTTTTTGTTTGTTTTGGATTTCCCAGCCTCTCCTTCACTCCTGTCTCTCTCTCTGTGTTCATGTTGCAAGAAGAATATTGAAAAAACCCCATGATTTTGGCTCAAACATCTCAAACGTCTCAGCTGTTTCAACTTCCAAGAGCAGGGAATGCCCTGCAGACACACAGACGTGTCCCTGTGGACGTGGCACGTTGTCCCCACGGACATGGACACGTCACACTGTCCCAGGGCTCAGGGGGATGTTCCCCCACCAAGCTGCAGTGGCCAACTTGCACAAGGAAGGAGGGTTTTCCATTGGTGAGGAATAACGAGAAGCTGCCACGAAGCAAAGCCCTTTCAACTTGGGTTCCTTCAGAACATAAAAAAAAAATCCATCCATTTCATCTGATTGGCATTTCTGGACTGGGAATAAACAGTGGAGCCAGTAAATAACTTCAGATTCCTTGTGGCCGAGCTCTGGTTGCAGTGGAAACACACTGTTGTTGCTCTTTCATCCTTTCCCTGTCCCACGTCAGTCCCTGGCACCGCTCTGGCATCTGCCCTTCCATGGGACTCACGGGGGTGAAAAGAAAGCAGGGATTTGTCACAGGACTCTGAAAAGCCTCAGTAAACTCAAAATGCTGCTCTGTACACCCAAATAATTGCTTCAGGTTTTGACCCCTTCCAGAACCAAAATGGACACGGGAGCAGGCCGAGGTGATTCACAGGTTTTTAAACCACCAGGTTCTTTCAGAACCTGTTTGTGACTCCTTGGTTTTCAGAACACTTTGTTTCCACCAGAAAAAGTCAAGTCATGAGTAAGAACTGTTCCACCACCTTCCAGCGTGACAGTGATTCAGCACTTACTGTCTCATTAAACAACTTGAATTTTACATGGTTACATGGAAATTTCCTCCTTTTTCCATCCAAACCTGAAACTTGGCACTTTACCACTTTAATATTTTAACATGACCACGGGTCCTGCTGAACAGAATGAACTGGGGATGTGCAACCCCACCCTTTGACAGAGGTGTTGGGAACTGCCACTTAAAAATGTTCAAAAAGCACAGTTCTGCTTTTATTAAAGTTTTACAGAGCTGTCTGCTCCCATCCCTCTGCCAAAGGTGGGTTATGAGCTGAACACACACCGGAGGAAGTTCAGGAATGCGGGAGATGGTTCCTGCAAACTCTGCTCTCCTCCCCTAGGGATAAATAACCTCCCCGTCCAGGTAGCCTGAAAATATTCCACGGAATTTCAGTAAATTCTTACTGTTGTCCTGTAGCAATTTTTCTGTGGGAGCAGGATTTATTTTTACCCATTTACAACGTGTTGGGTGTTTCCCTTTCCTACGAGAAGAAACCCCGGACGCAGAGATCACCTTCCTTTGTCTCCCAGGCCCCTTCCCTCTGGAATAAACACATCCCACTAACGTTGACTGGTTTTCCTCAGCTCTCTACGCATTTATCTCCTCTCTGGGCTAAGCAGGACTAATCTGCTTATTCCCTCAGCTCCCCTGACCTCGTTTGGGATCATCCGCGCTCCCGCCCCCCATTCCCGTTCCCCTGCTCCCGGATCCCTGCTGGAACAGGGAACTGTGCTGCTGGACAAACCAGCCCCGACTGTTTGGTGCAGGGGTGGGAATGCAGCTCCCCATCCTGCCCATCCCACCCCAGAGCCCCCCTGCCCCCGGGTCACTTACGGCGCTGGCGGCCTCGGCGGCGAGTCGCGCGGCGTACCTGGCGATCAGCCGGTGCTCCTCGTCCAGCCGGCCCGGGCTGTCCAGGGCACTGCCAAGGACCAACAGAGCCGTCAGTGCCTCGCTGGGGCAGCGAGGGGAGGACAGAGTGTCAGTGCAAAGAGCCAGCGACAGCAAAGGGAGAGAGTCCCGCTGGGAACGATCCGCGCGATTCCCTTTTCCGTCCCGCTCCCGCGGCAGGGAAATGCTCCCTGGGCTTCCTGCTGAGCAGGGTTTGCTCCAGGACTCACAGAGTCCAGTCTGGGATGTGTTAAAGGAACTTGGTCTAGGCACAGATTTGTTTCTGGGGAGCTTGTCTGCAGACCCTTTTGGTTACTCAAGGTCGCCAGGGGCCAGTAGCCCAGTGATGGAGGAGGAAAACCTTCTCCTCCAGGGATGGAGGATCATCCGTGTCCAAGCCAGGATGATTTCCATGAGGAAGAGTGGGGAGGACTGTGCTGACCTGAGAAGGACCTTCTGGCACTGAACAGCATCGACCTAAATGTAAACAGCACTTTGCAAGTCAGCCTGACTTACACCTGACTTACACCTGACTTACACACACCTTACAACACCCCTTTACAAAGGGGGGCAGTTTAAGATCTGGTCCTTCACAGCTCAGCTCCAGAGGGTGACACAGCTCCAGCTGGCTCCTACTGCCAGGCTGGACAGGGCTTGGAGCAACCTGGGCTGGTGGAAGGTGTCCCTGCCCATGGCAGGGGGTGGCACTGGATGTGCTTTAATGTCCCTTCCCACCCAAACCAGTCTGGGATTCCCTGGATGCCTCACACAGGCTGCAGCTGCCTGGGAAATGCTGCTGAAATAGGTGTTAAGAGCCATTTCCAATAGTCCTCAGCAGTGACAGCACCCTGAGGTGACAGAGAAAGGGACAGGGAGGTTTGAGACAGGGAAAGCAGAGACAGCTGAGGAGACAGATCCGGGGTGGGAAGGAAAGGCAGCACCTGGATCTGTCCCATGTTCCACACGAGCTCTGTGTCCCTGGGCATGTTCACCATTAACAGATTAACCCAGGCTGGGAACAGGCAGTGCCCCCAGGGCTGAGGCAGCTCCTGCTACTCCCAAACAATTCTCTTTGTTAACTCTAAACACACTGGGGAACAAAGGCTGATTTTTGGGTTGTATTAACTGAAAGCAGCCAATGCTGGGGTCTGTTCCCAGCTGCATTTGGTGCCACAAGGAACCAGGAGGGGAATCACAAATGAAAGGGCAGCTTTTTAAATCAACATCCAACCGCTGGATTTGGGAGTTGCTGGCCATCCCAGTGCTGTGCAGAGATCCCTCATCCCACTGCAAAGGGAACCACTGGATCAGTGGCAGGAACCAAGCTGTTATTAACTGCAACAACCAGGATTAGTGTGGGAATGAGGAATGTGCTTCCAGTGGCCACACAGCCTTCCCAGTGCCAGCCCTGAGGTTCCAGGTGGGATCCACGGACAGCCCAGGGCGGTCCCTGAGGGTGCTCCAGGGAAATTTGGGGTCACCATCACCACAGAGAGCAGCAGGATAAACCAGACACAGACCTGGTGTACCACAAAAGCCACTCCCGGCCCACATTCCCACCCCAGAAGACAATTTACATTTCTTGAAGCTTAATTTCAAGGATTTGTGTCTCCTTGAACCAGATTTACGCTGTGATGGTTATTTAAGAATGCAGGTTTCTTTTCACTAACACCCAATTTAAGAACCTGAGGTCTTTGAAGACTCTGGAGTTTGCCAGGAGATGTTTTTGGTTCACCAGGTGCTGTGTTTTGTTTGCCAGGTGATGTTTTTGGTTCACCAGGTGATGTTTTTGGTTCACCAGGTGATGTGTTTGGTTTGCCAGGTGATGTTTTTGGTTCACCAGGTGCTGTGTTTGGTTCACCAGGTGCTGTGTTTGGTTCACCAGGTGATGTGTTTGGTTTGCCAGGTGATGTGTTTGGTTTGCCAGGTGATGTTTTTGGTTCACCAGGTGCTGTGTTTGGTTCACCAGGTGATGTTTTTGGTTCACCAGGTGCTGTGTTTGGTTCACCAGGTGATGTTTTTG